CTGCCCGCTCGCCCCCCTCCCCCCCCCCCCGTATCCCCATACGGGAAAGTGGCAGGGGGCGGGTGAGGACGGCAGTTCCTCCCAGCACCCAACACCCCAACACAGAACTATCAGTCAGGGATGAATGCGCTGCCTCTGCTCCTCTTAGGGGCTAATAAATGGGGAGACTGAGGCCCGTGCTTAGGGCCGAACGCACCGCTCTGTCATTTGACAGAATTGTCTGAATGAGTGGTGGCAGGGCTGTTGACAGGGCTTGGAAGTCTTGGCTCCCAGCCCAGGGTATTGTCCACCTGTGGACAGGGAAGTGTGCGTGGGCTTGTGCGATACTGCCTGAGAGGAAGCAGGGCCACTGCCCAGGCCGCTTAGGGGACAGAGGGAGGCTCCCCTGGCTGCTCCACTTTACAGACAGAAAAGCCTCATTTGGAGCCCAACCCGGGGTCTCAGGGGAAAGACCCAGGCTCTAGCTCCTGACTCAGTGTCCCTGTCACCAGCCCATTTGGCTGCATGGCCTCAGAAGAAGCTGAGCTCAGTGAAAGGGTACCCAGTGAGTCATGCTGTGCCCACCCCACCCCCAAGTCTGACTCAACCAAGGTGATGAGACGGAGGGAGAGACTCTGCCCCTGCAGTGCCAGGGAGCCCCGTGGGCAATGTGCCCAGGAGGGTCACAGGGCAGATAGATACTCCCAGGGAAAGGGCGCGTGGCCAGATAAAAACAGAGAGGGCCCGGCCAGAGCCCAGGGAGACTGTGATGGGGCAGGTGGGCAGGGAGAGCCCGAGGGAGCCAGGCAGGCTGCCTAGACAGGACTGGGCTCAGGGTTACTAAAGGTGGCTGGAGACCTGGGGACTGTGACTGCAGGGAAACCCAGGCACCCAAAGAGCACCTGGGACGAGGAAAAAGCCACAGTTCCAGTTATGTAAAGGGAACACTCCGCTGCAGTTTTGTGGCACATGTGGGCTCCTTGGCTTCTGACGGCAGCTTTAGGCCTGGCTTCCTCACCTTCCCACCCTTCCAGACCCAGGGAGTTGAGCTGAGCTGGGTAGGAGGCCATGCTTTCAAGCCAGCCAGTCCCCAGCTCCAGCCAGGTGATGACTGAGGTCTGGGAAGATTCTGGGGCCTTATGGGCAGATCATTTTAATCAGTCCTCTTCTTGTGCCCCCCGGCCCCCGGCCTGGCAAAAAGGAAGGGGAAAGGCATCTTTCGGGGGCTGTCTCCCCAAGGGCACAGTGAGGGTAATTGCCATTATGGAGCTAAGGGAGTTTAGGGGTTTGGTGGGGATGTTGCTTATGCTGACGAGGGGCTCAGAAGGTCTTTCCCTTCTCAATTAATGAGATTGCCTGGCCCTTCCGTAGGAAAGGGGAGGAGCAGGGAAGACACCAGAAACAGAGGAACATGGCTTGAGGGTGGGGGAATGGACTCTGGGGGCCCAGATAGTGACAAGTGAGGTATAAATAGCTTGGGCCCTGCGGCTCATGTTCTGTCGGCTGCCTGTGACGAGGTGCTTAGGAATTCCACTCTCCTGTTGGCAACCCCCTCTCCTTGTTCCCCCAAGCCACCTTTATGCCATGGCCAAACTATCCATCAGGCATGGGTGCTGTCTACTTGAAAGGCCGAGCTCTCCTGTGGAGAGATGCCCAGCTCCTGGGATGTGGCCAGCTCTCTTGCACGGGAGCTGGGTGCGAGTAAACAGGCAGCCTTCGGACAGCCACCCCGAGAGGTGCCAAGATGTGCATGCTGTCTCTGAAGCCCCGAGGACAAAAGCGAGGCACAGATTGGAGAAAGGATGACTTCTCTGAACTGCTGGGATGGAGAGAAAGGGGGAAAGTGGGGTAGCTTGGAGCGGAGAGCCCCTTACGGTCCTGTTGTGTGGGCATTATCTGAGGTCCTGCCGTCTCCTCGGCTCTCCCTCTCTGACCCGTTACCTCACTCTGAGGGAGACGGGTGTGCAGGCCTCAGGGGAAGTAGTGAATGGTGGACAGAGGAGGGCGCAGAGTGCCACTAGATGGTTCCTGTCACCCCGGCCCCCCTGCCCCGAAACCTGAGCCTGTTGCTCTCCAGGATAAATCGGGGCCTGAGTCAGGCCCCAGCAGCCAGTCACAGTCAGCCTGACCCAGGCGCAGGCTGGTGACTCAGCCCTCAATATAGCCCATGAGCCCAGGCCCCAGGCCCGGCCACATGGGCCGGGACAGACCGTGCACAATGCTGGCCCCGAGGCCTGCCAAGGGGGGCCCCCTCCCTGAGGAGCGCCGGCGTGTTCCCTCCCCTGCCAGGCAGGGGCACACAGAGGGGCTTACAGGGGGTTTCATCAGCTGTATTTGGGGTAGTGCTGGCAGGGGCATGGGCCGTTTATAGCCCCCTGACTCACCACCTGCTGACCCGTCTCAGGAGACCAGGTGGCCTGGCCTTCACCTGGCCCTGCCGCTCCCATCAAGGGGCTAACCTTGCCACCAGCATCACCAGCCACCAGCATCGGCCATTTTTAACTTGGGCTGAGGTGAACCTGAGTGAGTGTTTCCAATAGGCCACATTTGAAATTTTCATTTTTCTGGAATCAAGAGCATCTCCACAGTCACCTGGGCCGCCCGACTGACAGCAGGCACTTGGCACCATCAGCAATAGTGACTGTGGCTCTGGCCTGGGTACCAGCGTGGTAGCATAGATAAATCCACAGTCTGGATTCTGGCTTCTCCACTTCTGGCTCTGTAACCTTGGGCAGGTAATGTAACTTTGGGGCCTCATTTTCTCATCTGTAAAATGGAGTTATTAATCTCCTCATAGGAGTGTGAGTGTGTGCACATGCGTGTGTGATAAAAGGAAATACGCAAGATGATTAGCATGATGCCTGACAGCTAGCAAGTGGCTAGCTCGGATGGGCGGGTCCGAGGCTCACAGTGCTGGTTCTCATTCTGGCTGGTGGAGGTGGGATGCAGGGGAGAGGGCAGCAGTGCGGAGACCTAGGCAGTGGTCTACACAGGCACAAATGCAGCTGCAGGGAAGGGTCTTGCTTACCGAAACCTACTCGGCCCTCAAGATACCAGCAGAGAAAGCAAACAGAGTGGAAATGAAGCAGTTATGCAGAGGGCAGTAACAGGGAAATGGTTTTGAGTCCATGGTTCTAGCTCTACTCAGGTCTAGATGCATGCCAGTCTGTGTTTTTGTTTTTGTTTTTTAAGAATTATTTTACTGGGCCTGTAGGTGGCATGATGGTTAAGGGCATTGGACTCCCACACGGCGGACCACAGTTCGAGTTCCAGACTAGACGGCTTGCTTTCTCACTTTCTCTCTCTCTCCTCTCAGTCAAATAAAAATAAATAAATAAATACAACAAATAAAGTTATTACCATCATTATTTGTTTAATTTTACCAGACAGTGACAGGGAGAAAGAAAGGGAAGGAGGAAAGCAAGCCTCCAGGTCTGGGACACAAACCATGGTCAAGCCTTGTGGGCGTCCAGCGCCTTAACCACGCCCCCTGCCAGCCCCCCTGCCTGTGGCTTCTAAGCAGCACCCTGGTAGACTTAAAATCGACCCCTCCTGCTACTTTTTTTTTTTTTTTTGAAGGTAGCTCAAGTGAATGTTTCATATTCAACAAGTATTTAATATATTTTGGTAACAGTGCATCAACAAGACTCAGAGGCATGAAGTGCAAGACAAAGGTTTCAAAATGAGCAAGTGTCTTCCATGGAAGCGCTCTGTATCCTAAGCCGAAAAACTGGGGACAAGCAGGCACACATTCCTGTCATTCCCTGGACTCCAAGTTCGGGTCCTGTGTGGACACCATCTACCCACCAGAACCTCACTTCCATCTTGACTTCAGAGCCCAAGTTAAATCAGCGATCGTTGGTGTCTTAGTTCATTCAGGCTGCTTAAACAAAATTTCATAGACCGAGTGCCTTATAAACAGAAATTTATTTCTCACAGTTCTGAAGGCTGGGAAGTCCAAGATCAAGGAGCCTACAGATTCAGCGTCTGGAGAAGACTCACTTCCTCACATGGACAGCCACCTTCTCACTGTAACCTGAGTGATGGAAGGGGCGAGGAATTTCTCCGGGGTCTCTTTCATAAGGGCACCAACGACACTCATGAGAGCTCTGCCCTCATGACATAACCACCTCTCAAATCTCACTCCCCAAAACCACCACCTCGGGGTGTAGGATTTCTACACGTGGACCATAGCCCGTCTACAGGTAAGCTTCCAGTCTTTTCCAACACATGGGTTTTCCAGGCGACTGGTGGTTGGAGTAAAGTGGATAAAAAGTGGGATCTCACTACACTCCAAAGCAAGTGGTCAGTAGCACCAGGCAGGTTTAAATTTCTTTGATTGGGTGAGGACTGAGGACATACAGCCTTATGTAGTGACCAAGGCAGTGCTACTGAAGTTTTATTGTGCATTTTAATCAGCTGGGGATCTGGTTAAAGTGCAGATTCTGGGTCAGCAGGGCCGGGGTGAGGCCAGATTCTGCACTTCTAATAAGCTCTCGGGTGATACTGATACTGCTGGGCTATGGGCCCCTTAGAATAGCAGGAGCTGGGCCACCTTAAATCAGGACTGTCTTCCAAAAGGTGTCATTCAGGGACCAGCAGTTGGTGTAATGACTGCGTCGCTGGACTCCCATGTAGTCGACTCCAGTTCGAGTCCCGGACCCGGTGGCTTAAACTCACACCAGGCATGTGTGCATGCATGACCAAGATCCCGAGAGGAGAATGGAGAAGGGATTGAAGCATGGCCACTCGCCCTGGGGGAGTGATTTCTCACATTCTGTCTCTTCAGAGATGGAGTGTCCTATAGCAAAAACCGTTCTTAAAAAAATACATGGCGTCCTTCATATGAAAACACTCATAATGAAAACAACCAATCACAAAAGATTCTGTGGGGATGAAGGCAAACAAGGGCATGCACTGATTATTTGTTGCTCTGCTTGTTTGCACCTGGTTCCATTCTCAATTCTCTGTCCTTCTTTGGGCTCCAGGAGGCTGACCTTGAAAGATTTCCTATGGGCACCTCTGCTCTCTGGCTCCTGCTGGACTCAGCCGTGAGAGAGGAACCAATGAGAAATTGGCAGGAGGGAGAAGGTAAGGGAGTAAATAAACTCCCCCTGTCATCAGGGCTCTGGCAGGGGCTGTATCCTCCTGTGGCCACCACTCCTGTCTGGGGCCCCTTTTAGTGCCCCAGGGCCCACTTCCCCCTCCTCCTATGGGGCAGGTCACAGCCTTCCACAGTGCCAGCGCCAGGCCTTCACTGTGCCTGTGGTTGTCCTAACCCTCCTGCTGTACACGGTCTCTTCACTCAACTCACACACAGCACAGAGTGTGATTGTTCCTGCAGGGCCCTGCCTGATGGGAGTCATCTCTGAGAACAAACCCCTGGAGGTCACAGGACGAGGCCACGAAGGCAGCCACCCTGATCTTCCCATGGACGGTGTGAGCGCAGAACTCGAGGGAGGTCACTAGGTACCAAACTCCTTCATCTCCCCTGGCTCAGCTGAGTTCCTTGAGACAGGGTGAATAAGTACAGAGCAATCTGTAGTCATTTGGCTGGCAGCCCGTGAGCCGGTCTTGTTTCTGAGGTCAGCTGTTGGGTGAGAATTCAGGCTTAGGAGCAAGGCCCTTAGGGCCAGCGGCTGGTGTGGTGGTTAAGGTGGTGGACTCCTACATGGCCAACCATGGTTTGAGTCCCAGACCTGGTGGCTTGAAACTCACATTTGGTGTGTGCATGCATGCCCGGAATCCTGGGAAGAGAATGATGGAGGAGAGGGGATTGTGGTATGGCCATTCCCCCTGGGGATTTCTCACTCACTCTATCTCCAGCAACTGCATATGTCCAGTGGTGAAAGAAAGAAAAGAAAAGAAAAGAAAAGAGAAAAGAGGGACCAGCAGGTGCCATAACAGTTACATTGCTGGACTTCCACGTAATCAACAGAGGTTCAATTCCTGGACCCAGTGGCTTGAATCTCAGGCCAGGCACGTGTGTGTACATGCCCAAAATCCCAAGAGGAGAATGGAGAAGGGATTATGGTGTAGCCATCCTCCACCCCACAGGGGCGGGGGGGAATGATTTCTCACTTTCTGTCTCTCTCTCTGGTGGCACAAGCGCCCTATAGCAAAAATCTCTCTAAAAAAGGAAAGGAACCAGACCCTTATGTAAGGTACTAAAGGGGGACCGCTCTGTTCTGGTTGTGTTGTGAGGTATTTAACAAAGAAAAAGCCATGAGTCTCACGTAGTTAGGTTGATATTTAATTACAAGGAACCCAGGTTCTTATACAAAGCAGGAGATAGGAGCCAGCAGCTCGCCATGAGCCTTTCCAGCCTGGGTGACTGAGGCTAAGGAGGTGAAGACACATGGGACATGTGGGTGGGGTGGGGGTTCTGGTACAGTGTGTCCTGCCCAAAGCTGAGGGTGGTGGCCTTTGAGGATCTGCCCCCTTGGCTGGCCCAGGTCTGCCATCACTCCATGAGGCAGAACTCTGTCTCCTGCGGTCGCATGTTGGGTAACATATACAGGGCCACCGCTGCGATAGCCAAGAATACCACAGGCTTCCACATCCCAAACATGTTCTGTGGGGACCAAAGAAAAACCGTGAGTGCCAGCTTTCCGACCCTCCCGAGTCAGAAGTCACCTGCCTGCTAGTGCCAAGGGAGCCCTCTCAGGACACCATGGGCCAGTCCCTCCTGCTCTCTGAGTAACTGGTGATGACATGGCCATGCTCTACTTGGGTGACGGCCTGCATTCATGCCTCCATTTCTCCCCCAGGCACAAGAAAACACAAGCGCCTACGTGTAGAAGCTGGCTCAGAGGCCGGGCTTCGGGGATTTTCCAAATGGTTGCCATGAGGAAAGACTGGATGCCATGGAACGAAAGAACAGGGTACATCTGGGCCTTTCAGGAAAGCAGATCCAATTCAAGAGGAAGGGAAAAGAACAGGCGAGGCGGGAGTGGAGAAAGGGCACCGCCGAGTACAGGTAGATCAACGCGGAGTCACCACAACACCTCAATCACCAGGTGTGTCGCCGACTTCCTGGTACATGTGCTAGAGTGTGTGGAGGCCCTGGACGCGGCTGGCAAACCCTGCTGGCTGAGGACAGATGACACCGTCAACAGACAGCCAAAAAGCATCTTGCAGGAACTATGACATTTTGGACAAGAAAACATATTTAGAAAAATACTTCCTATTTTTATTACCCGTTTTCATTCTCCTACAGGAATTTGGCATAAGCTATGGCATAAGGTAATGGAAGATGATTTTTGGTAAAGATTGAGTATAGCCCAATAAGCCAAGGACATATGACTCAGGGAATAACTGATCTACAAAGAAGATTTTAAGCCGAAGAGTAAAGACAGTCTCCTAAATTTTGTAGAAATAGTTACTAAGAAGAACAGAAATGGGAAGCAAAACAGTGTTGGAGAGCCAGCAGGTGGCATGGTGGTTAAGGACTGGATTTCCCACATGGCCGACTGCAGTTCAAGTCCCAGACCTGGCAGTTTGCTTTCTCACTTTCCCTCTCTCTCACTGTCTCTCTCTGGTGAACTCATGTGAAAATAATAAATAAAATAATTAATTTTTAAAAACTTTAAAAAAAAGTGTTGGAAGAGAATATATGGAGTGATTCCTATAAGAAAATAACTGAGAAGGAAGCTAGAAAAAAATGTTTCCATGCTCAGATGTTTACTTATTTCTTTAAAGAATTATTTTATTTAATTTTAATTTTTTTGTGTGTGTGTCTTTTTTTTGGAGAGGTTTTTGCTATAGAGTGCTTGTGCACGCCAAAAAGACAGAGAGATAGAAAGCAAGAAATCACCCCCCAGGGGGGATGGTCACACCGCAATTCCTTCTCCTCAATTCTCCTCTCGGGATCTTGGTCACGCACACACACACATCCGGCGTGAGTTTAAGCCACTGGGTCCAAGACTTGAACCATGGTTGACTACTTGGGAGTCCAGTGACATAGCCATTATGCTAACTGCTGGTCCCTAACTTTAATTATTTTATTTATTTTAATTTGACCAGAAAGGGACAGAGTGAGAGAGAGGGAAAGTAAGAAAGCAAGCCACCAGGCCCAGGGCTCAAACCGCAGTCTGTTATGTGAGAGTCCAGTATCTTTAACCACCATGCCACCTGCTGGCCCACTCAGATGTTTATTATTATTATTATTATTATTATTGCTATAGAGGACATACACTCACTGGAAAAAGACAGAGAGAGAGAGAGGGAGAGAGAAATCACCCCCCAGGGAGGATAGCCACACCGCAATCCCTTCTTTTCCATTCTCCTCTCCAGATTTTGGGCACACACACACACGTGCCCATCAGGTTTTTCAAGCCAGGACTTGAACTATGATGTCAGCCATATGAGATCCAGAGCCTTAACCTCATGCCACAGGCTGACCTTCCATGCTCAGATGCTTATATTTTAATGTGCACTGCTAAAAATGCAGTTTGATATCCTTGAATGAAGAAAGAGTGAAAAATCCATAAACATGAAGTGGTCTACCTTCCAGTGGGCGAAGGCAAGATTTCGAACTGGATGAGGAAAGGAAAGTTTTGGTTATCCTAACGAGGTTAATCATGTCAGGCTTTTTTGTGTGACTTTCACATTGACAGATCAAGGAAATCATGTTTTTGGACTGAATGAAGGTGTTTGATAAGACTTCCCATGATACCCTTGCAGATACTACGTGGAAAGAAGAGTAGGACGACATACCAGTTGGCTGTACAACCCTGTTAGCGACCAATGAGCTGAATAAGAGAGAACCGAGGGCCAGTGGGCGATGTGGCAATTAAGGCACTGGATCCCACATGGCTAACTGAGTGGTTCGAGTCCCAGACCTGGCAGCTTGAAAAACAGACCAGGTGCATGTGAATGTGTGCCCAAAATCCTGAGAAGAAAATGGAGAAGGGACTGTGGCATGGCCATCCTCCCTGTCTCTGTCTCTGTCTCTCCAATGAGCACATGCACCCTATGATGAAAATATTAAAAAAAAAAGAGAGAGAGAGAAAGAGAACCTGAGAGGTGACACTAGAGGCTCGGTCGACACGTGTAACTTGAATGAAGATACGGAAGGGAGGCTTGGCCACACTGAGGATGATGTGAAGCTAGCTGGGAAAATAAATATTTTGAAACCACAAGGTCAACATTAAGAAATCCAGAGTGGGGTTGGCAGATGGTATTAAGGTGCTGGACTCGCACATGGCCAACTGCAGTTTAAGTCTCAGACCAGGCGGCTTGCTTTCTCACTTTCTCTCACTCTCTGATGAGTGCACATGCCTTAGAGCAAGTTAAAAAAAAAAAGTAATAATAACCAATGGAATGAAATCAATTTTAAGAGAGATTTTTGCTATAGGGTGCATGTGCTCACTGGGAGACAGAGAGATAGAGACAGAAAGCGAGAAAACACCCCCCAGGGATGGCCCCACCCCAATCCCTTCTCCATTCTCCTCTCAGGATCTTGGGCACGCATACACACACACCTGGCATGACTTTGAAGTCTCTAGGTCTGGGACTCGAACCACGTTCGACTACATGGGAGTCCAGCAACATTTACGCTATCTGTGGTCCCAAAATAATAATCCTTTAAAAAAAAAAAAAAAAAAACACAGGGACCAGCAAATAGCATAATGGTGATGTCGTTGAACTCCCATGTAGTCAGCCACAGTTTGAGTCCCGGGCCAGGCTGATTCTAACTCACCTGGGCGCATGTGCATGCATGCCCAAAATCCCAAGAGGAAAATAGAGGAGAAGGAACTGTAGCATGGCCATCCTCCCTGGGGAGTGATTTCTCATTTTCTGTCTCTGTCTCTCTGGCAAGCATGTGCATCCTATAGCAAAAATCTCTCTCTCTCTCTCTGTGGTAAAATGAAAATAAATGAGTAAATAAATAAATAAATAATTCTTAAAAAAAAAATCTCCTCTTGGGGCCAGCAGGTAGCGTGGTGGTTAAGGGTGCTGGACTCTGACATGGCTGACCTCGGTTCAAGTCCCAGACCTGGCAGCTTGCTTTCTCACTTTCTCTCTCACTCTATCCCTCTATGGTCAAATAAAAATAAATAAATGGATAAAGATAAATAAAATAACGAAAGAAAAAAATTTTTAAAAAATCTCCTCTTGGGGACCAGCAGGTGGCATGGTAGTTAAGGTGCTGGACACTCCCACATGGCCAGGCACAGTTAAAAAAAATCTCTTTACAATCTAAATGGTGTATAGCAATTGAACGTATAAATAATCATAATAAAATAAATAGATTAAAAAAAAACTCTCTCTAAAAACAAAACAAAAAACTGGGACCAGCAGTTGGAGTAATGGCTAAGTTGCTGGACTCCCATGTAGTCAACCACGGTTTGAGTCCTGGACCTGGTGGCTTAAACTCAGACTGGGTGCATGTGTGTGTACACCCAAGATTCCAAGAGGAGAATGGAGGAGAGGGGATTGTGGTGTGGCCATCCCCCCAGGGGGTGATTTCTCACTTTCTGTCTCTGTCTTTCTGGTGAGCGCATGCACCCTATAGCAAAAGCCTCTCCCCACCCCCACCCCCCCAAAAAAAAAACATCCAAGAGGCTAAAAAAATGAACTAACTTTATGTATTGATGATAAGGAAGGATGGAATTTTTTTAAAAGAATTATTTTATTTAACTTTATTTATTTATTTTAATTTGACCAAAGAGGGACAAAGTGAGAGAGAAAGAGAAAGAGAAAGCAAGCTGCCAGGTCTGGGACTCAAACCGCAGTCATCTATGTGAGAATCCACATCCAAGAGGCTAAAAAAATGAACTAACTTTATGTATTGATGATAAGGAAGGATGGAATTTTTTTAAAAGAATTATTTTATTTAACTTTATTTATTTATTTTAATTTGACCAAAGAGGGACAAAGTGAGAGAGAAAGAGAAAGAGAAAGCAAGCTGCCAGGTCTGGGACTCAAACCGCAGTCATCTATGTGAGAATCCAGTGCCTTTAATCACCACGCCACCTGCTGGCCCCCGAAAGGATGGAAAATTATGCTTTTAGATCCTCCAAAATAAATATAGATGTAGACTTGGGAGAGGACACTCAGAGGGATTTTATAAAAGATACATGAAATGAGCTAACGACATGAAAGAGCTAACGTGATCGGAGGCTGCCTGAGGAGGATACGATGCCTTCCTAATTACTCGGCACCAACCAAGAGAAATCTCTCACAATGAGAAGACATAAGGGGAAACCGGATTTGAGTTTTTACCTGTTGCTAACAGTAAGTCCTCATAACCTGATTCACAATTTGCTGGCTGTATTACTTGATGTCTCTGTGCCTTCGTTTTATAACATATCAGAAAGTAGTAGTAACTTCCTCGCAGGGTTGCTGCAAGGATTAGATTCGTTAATATACGTAAGGTGATTAGAACAGTGCCTGGAACCTAGTATGCGTTACACAACTGTATACACACACTATTAGTCATGTGGCAGTTTAAATTCATAAGTCCTGTTCCATATATCAACTCTTCTGAGCCTCTCAGAAACCCTGTGAGGAAGGCAGAGGTTAGTTATGCTTTGTCCACACATGGGAAACACAAGTTCTGATGACAGTTTGCTCACTAGACCAAGCCTGTAAGGGCAGAGCAGCACGTTCTTCTGACCACCTGTCAGCCTCACTTTCCACTGCCCTGCACTGCCTCAACTCCTGAATGGGGAGCTGCCTACTGGGGCAGGGCCAGAGCTCCGGGCGTTAACAGGCACTCCAAAGAGAACCCTTAACTCTCAGCTCCTTCCTCTCGCTCTGATTGGGCCTGGCAGAGTTTGAGTTGGAGAAAGGTTATGGCTGAATGTTGGGTCTCATCCCAGAGGGACTCAGAAATCTGGGAAGACAGAAGAGAGGAACAGGTCTAGGGAGAGACTCTTGCCACTCAAGGAGTTAAAGACGGTCCATGGGTAGAGACTGGAATGCCTAAAAGAAAGAAAAAGGAGATGGGTTGAAGAGGGGAAGAAAATGCAGGTGTGTGTGGGAGGGGGTGGTGGGAAGGAAGGGCAGACAGTGGAATGGTGCGAAGTGACACCACGCATGCCGGGCCACCCCTCCGAACCTGCGCACTAAGGCAAGTCCACTTCACTTACAGGGACGTGAAAAGAGCGGGGGGCGGGGGGAGTAGTAGGGAA